ACTCGAGTCACAACGTTGGACTGCTTTTTGTGAGTTACTTGACCCACGAAAACCTTTATCCCAATTGTGGAAGACGGTACGAGGTCTCCGCACAAAACCCACTCAGTGGTCACCATTCAGGTCTCTCGCACTTTCTGAACAGAGACGCGACATTGACGTGGCAGAAGACTTCTGTGCCAGAGTGTCTGGGCCACTCGCAGTGCCAAAGAGCCTATTGCCCTCGACTAACTGTCCACAAACACTGAATTCCCGCATGGATATGCCTTTTTCCATCGTGGAGCTCAGAGCAGCACTAGCTTTGTGTGGACGCACGTCGGCAGTAGGGCCCGATAGAATTCCTTATAGGGCCTTGTGTCATCTGGGTGAACGCGCGAGAATCGTCTTTTTGGAGTTGTACAGCGAATCCTGGCAAGATGGAACGCTCCCGACAACCTGGAAGACAAGTCGCCTAGTTCCACTTCTGAAGCCAGGCAAGTCACCGTTGGACCTCTCATCTTATCGGTCCGATCGCATTGGCCAGTTGTGTATGCAAAGTTATGGAGAGGATGATCCTTGGACGCCTGGAGTGGTTCTTGGAGTATAACAACATCTACCCAGATTCCATGGCAGGATTTCGGCGTGGTCGAGCATTGATTGACAACGTAGTCGACCTGGTCACTCATGTCCAACACGAAAAAGGCCGTAAGCGTCTCTGCGCATCTTTGTTCCTAGACGTCAAAGGGGCGTATGACAACGTTACGCATGAAGCTGTTCTCACCGCTCTCGAAGATATAGGAGTAGGTGGTCGGATGTATCGCTGGATACGTAGTTATTTGTCAATGCGATCCTTCTTTGTGAGCACTGAAGATGGTCCAGCCTCTCGACATTACAGCCACTGTGGCGTCCCCCAGGGTGGCGTACTCAGCCCTGTACTGTTCAATCTTACGTTGATTGCTCTCACTGAGCATCTGCCAAGCACGGTCAGGCTATCAATGTACGCAGATGATATCTGCGTTTGGGCATCGGCTGTAACACGCCTGCAGTTATGAGGGAGAATTCAAAAAGCGGCCACTGAAACATTACGCTACCTCAGAAATCGAGGCTTGGAAATTTCTTCCGAGAAATGCGCCCTCGTAGCTTTTACACGAAAGCCTATAGATAAGTACACTATAAGCATCAATGGTCAAACTGTACCATACGTTCGATCGCACAAGTTTTTGGGCGTCATAATTGACAGGAATCTATCATGGAGCGATCACGTTTCGTACATGAAGAAACAATTAATAGACATCTGTAATATACTGAAGTTCTTTGCAGGGAAGACTTGGGGAATGTCTCCCAGTGCAATGCTACAGCTGTACAGAGTACTTTTTCTCGGTTTCCTGCGGTACAGTTTACCGGCATTAAGCAATGCAAGCAAAACAAGCCTTCGAACGCTACAGAGTGTTTAGTTCCCAGGCACTCCGGATTTGCCTCGAGTCGCCTCGTAGTGCGTCGACAATGGCTCCTATAGCTATCGCCGGTGACCACCTCATCACGACACATATCGACATTGATGCACTCAGGACACATATAAGGCATATTGCTCGGACACCCTGCCACCACCTAGCCTCTTTACCAGCAGACAGACCACGTTCGTCATTTTGCCAAACGGTCACCACATACCGCGATTCTTTGCCAACATGCTTCACACCTGCCGCCAGGCCTTCGACTCATCCGTGGTGCCTGACTCAGGCTAACATCAGGCTAACTATACCTGGCATCAAGAAAAAGGCAGATATGTCGTCACCTGCTCTTAGACACCTTGCTCTGCTCTTGTTATACGAGACGTATCAAGGCTGTATACACGTATACACCGACGGCTCTGTTTTACAGAAGAGTTCAAAGGCATCGTTTGTTATACCGATAAAAGACACGACAAGAAAATTCAAGACCTCCCACCTCACGACATCAACGGGAGCAGAGCTCACAGCTCTTCGTGCCGCATTGGAATTCATGAGCGATCAACAGCCACGAAAATGGACAATTTTCAGTGACTCAAAGGCGGCACTGCAATCCCTTTTATCACCTTTACGCCACGGCCCGTACGAACAGCTGGTATTTGATATTGCAGAAAAGACTCGCAAATTTATTGAGGAAGGACATGAAATAGCCTTTCAATGGCTTCCAAGTCACTGTGGAATAATTGGCAATTAACGGGCCGATCGAGCTGCCCGTTCTGCCCATTCTGAGAGCGATGAAATATCAATTCCGCTTTCCAGAACTGACGCTGCACGGAAAATCCGCATGCTTGCTCGCAAGCGCACCACGTCACAATGGAACGAGTCACATTTCTTCCATGCACGGTTAGGTACTTTAGACCCAACCCTCAGTCTTCGAATTCCTCCGGAATTACGCCGACGAGACGCTACTATGCTGTGCAGAATATGGTTTGGCGTCGCATTTACCAATGCGTACGCGTTCCGCATAGGAATGGCTGACACTGCTGCATGTGACCATTGTGGCAGTGATGAAACAACTTGGCACATTCTGTGTGAATGCCCACAATACTGCTCGCAGAGACAGTCACTCTGCAGTGCACTAGATGAACTGGACAATCAGCCTCTTTCGGAAGAAAGACTCCTGCGCTGCCGACAGGACTTTATGTCGCAGAAGAAGGCTGTGAAGGCGCTCCTGCGCTTCTTGCGTTCAACCGGCCTGTCCAAACGACTGTGATTGGAACTCCCTGAATGTGTGTGCATGTGTTTTTTTTCCTAATTATTTTATATCTATCCTCTTTCCGACCCTTTTCCCCACCCCCGTACAGGGTAGCAAACCAGTTCGTCTAGGTTAACCTCCCTGTCTCTTCCTTTTAATTATTTCTCTCTCTCTTCTTTTCAGATGACATAAGAGGCATGATTTGCATTTCTTTCAACCCTGACGTCTTCAGATTTTTCTGAAATCATAGGCTACGATCAATACAACGAACTTGCTCCAGCGTTCTCATGATCGTCCTTCTGTTTTTTTTTCGAGTGACTAGCTAGCCTTTACTTTGCTTTATGCAGGCCATTATATGCAATGCTGTGACGACTTATTAAGATGATGACTCGTCCTCTTTGATGACCACTCATATTTAAGGTCTTGGGGGTCGTTTTTTAGATTTTTAAATGCTTCCTGATTTTCCTTCATACAGGTCTCTCTCGTAAAGTACACCCAAGTAGCTGATGTAATCTTGTCGTTTACTTCACGGGTTCAGCAGCTCGACAAGGCTTCTAAAGTCGTCGAAGGGGTCTCTAGCCACTGAAGTTGTTCTTCGGTGCTGATCTTCGAGATTGTACTCTCTGCAGAGGAAATGCTGGTCTTCCTGTTTTCAGGTATCCGTTTCCATTGAGGACGATTCATCGAGCTTTCGTGCGACAAGACTGCTATTCATGCTTGTAATGGCTAAATGGTGTGGTGACGCAGACAGACAGAGGACTTATCTTTCTGCTTTTGTTCTCGTGTATTGTTTCATTGACTCCATGGGAGCTTGCGAGCTTTTAATGCGTCTTCAATCTTATATTCTGCTCTTACTTTCACCCGAATAAACTCCTGAACATAATTTCCTGCTTCCTTCATCTCCGCTTCCAAACAATCAATGGGAACTGCGTCTTCTACATCCTTGTCAATTTCTATGAGAATCGATACTCCTTTGTCAAGATTTGGATGAAAATTGGTGAAAACACTTATTGATGGGCGATTATTATGCGGAAGACGTTTGATGTCTGCGATGACCTGCGTGAACGACCTTGCGTATTTGACTCCGCCTTTCGAAGAGGGCCGCCATAATCCGGTTAAGTGTCGGAAACAGGGTAATCACATGCCGGCCGGTGTCACGAGGCAAAGTCGGAGTAAAACGGCAGCCGTCACAGAAGGGTCATCAGTTTCTGGCCTGTCGCTCCTCATGATCTGGGTCTCGGTGATGGTTAGGCCTCGTTCACAAGTTTCACGTAATGACGGCTTCGCGAAGCCCTCCGGACTACAGGCGCGGTCGAGACGTCACAAAATCCGCACTGTCTCACCTTCGTAAGCCCTTTCCCCCGGGTTTCACGGCACCAAAATATTGAAAAAAGGAGGAGCCACTGTCTCTATGGCAAAGCTTTGTTTGTTTGTTTGTTTGTTTGTTTGTTTGTTTGTTTGTTTGTTTGTTTGTTTGTTTGTTTGTTTGTTTGTTTGTTTGTTTGTTTGTTTGTCTGTTTGTTTGTAGCCTGGAATCCATGGCGTATACTTACTCCAGGGGATCGGCCAAGAAAATATATTGTATCCTATGGGTGGCAACTGCACTACTACTTACAAAAAAAATTGATGCACAAGAAAGAACATATTATCGAAAAGAATAAAGATTTAGAGAGTGAGAAATCGAAGAGAGCAGAAAATATTCACTCATAGAATAATGATAACTTCATTTTTGATAATTTGATGGCGAAGCCCGCCGTCAACATCTTTTTTACTCCAACAAATTGATCTAATCTTATTTTAATGATGATAGTGTCACTCGTCGTCTTCTACACAAAACTGGAGAGTGGGTTTGGAACGTTGAATCCCCCATATTAATCGATCAATCAATAAATCGATCAATCAGTCAGTGGTGCCGTTTTCGTTTGTCTCGGTACCTTCAACATCATGCGCATTGGTTATCATGTTTCCATCAATAAATGTCCTCATTGTTCATTTGTTAGGCGAAACATTGCCTAAACATCATTCCCATTCTTTAATGAGAACTAGCAGACAATAATACCAGGTAAAATATATGGGAAATTATTTGCAAGTAATTGTTATGTAAATGTTAAGGAAAAAAGTGGACGAAAAGATAACTCGCAGAGTTATCGTTTCTTTCACTTTTGCATTTACATTACAATTACTTTAAATAACAACCTCTACAATTTCCTTGGCATTATTGGCTAGTAGTTCTCATTAATTTTGCGCCTTAGAAAGAAAAATAACCCTTAAGCTGGCACTTTCATTCATTACCATTTTTTTTTGCAATTCTGGAACATGTGCAGGTGTGTCCTCGCTGTAGACCTGCGGTACGAGCCGGCAACCGGTGAGCCCGTCCCCGAGTTGGGCACCCAACTGAGCAGTGCTCTGGTGCGTCTCCCACTAACACCGAGGGCGCCATACCGCGCCTTTGGGAAGTGCGGCAGGCCATGGACGAGCTCAAGAACTCCCCAGACCCTGTGGTGCTGTACGGGGCAGCCAACATCCTGTTCACTCTGCTGCCCTGCCGGCTGGCACACTGGTCGGTATAGACTACTTCACTAAAGGCACGTGGGTGCCGCCATTTTAGGCTATTAAGACAATGTTTTTTTTGGTTTTGTCAATTGCGATGCAAAATAGTTAGGCCACGAGACGTCATGTGCACGAACTCAACCGTTTTTAAATGTATGCGACTACCGTAACAAGGTTCGCTTAGCTGTTAAATATGCAGAACGCAACATGGTGGCACAGAAACCCCTCAGTAAAACAGTGTATATGGGCAACGCATCTCATCACGTCAGCCAAAAACGTTAACAATTATTGTGACTTGCAATATTGGAAGATTACTAGTGAAAGAAGAAGTTGATACACTGTTGTAGCTTCAATCTTTCGCTGTGTGAACTAATAGCAGCTTTAACGGAAAGGAATACATGAAGAAAGCTCTACTTGAGAAATTAAACTAGAGCTAAATTTACCTGAACGCTGGTATCCATGTGTTTGTTATGATTGTGACTCCCTATTTAAACCAGTCAATCGTTGGGCTACTTGAGCTGCTATCTCAGTTTTTCGTTACTTTTCTGGCAGTGTTATTCAACCACTCCACAGCGACTCAACCAATTGAATAATGGCGTTTAAGTAGGCAGCCAGGTGGACCGACGGCGCTGCGACGGCACGAAGGCAAACAATGAGATAATCTCAATCAGTCACGCCGTTATGGTGACGGATATTATGTTGCACACTACCTATATCTTCGTAGAAACAATACATTTGATTACATTCATGGGCTACAAATCCGGAATGTCTTGCAGTTTAGGAAATTTTATATAAGCCGAACAAAATCTGCTCTGCTAAATTTTTTGTCGTGTGACAGGATTCAGGAAGTGTGATATCATTTCATGCGTACATCTTGAGAACAAGCAAGACGCTTTAAAAATTACAATATTATGTCTGTGTCACTAATTTGAATAACACCTCACCTATGCAACACCAAACATAGTCGGCAGCCCTCCCAGTTTGTAACCCGCAATTAAGGAACATTTCTTCTACATTCCCTACAAAGTTCTTTTCCTAATTACCATAAACACTTTTCATCCCCTGAAAGCCTATGGAAGCCAATGAAAGGAGTAACTTTTGTGTATTCCGAATGCATCCTTAAATTAGCTCTTAACGTGTGAAATTTTAAATTGCAATGTCTAATATATCTTTAGTCTGTTTCGTTGAATGAATTTCGGCTTTCATTAGTCATGCAGTGGGCACTGAGTATCGGTTGTTGTGGCAAATAGTCTGCATGATCAGAGCAATATCCTTAAGTTGCCCACTGTTTCGGGTGTTATGGTGGCGGCATCTTTTTTTTTTTTACTTTTCGGCTTGCCAATTGCATTCTGAATGTTCCAGAACATTGCAATTACACGGAATGTATGCCGCACGTTTTAGTCAGTTATGTTATCTTCCGCACGGCTAGCAATCCCGTGCTCAGCTTGTACAAGAGGCACCACCTATGGTGAGGGGGCTCGCACTGACACCTCCCCAATAGATACGCTGTAAGAGCTTTAATGCACGTGACGTGGTCGAACTGTCTGGAGACGCAGCATATTTTACAAGCGACTTGTCTGTCTTTGTCAATTGAGCGCACTTGAATTGCACTTGTGTCACCGCGTGTCTATGCTACATCTGCCGTAAAGAGACACTAAGTATAGCTGGGTTAAAAAATTAGGCTTGCAAAATAACCAAATGACCTTTCCCAGAAAGCACACTCCAAGAAAAATACGAAATTGAGAAAGTGTAGTGAAACCCATGGTCGTGCTCTGTGGGTGTTTCAAGAAACGACCTCAGACGATCTACTTTCTCCCCTCAATGGCTCAAGGATGAAAAGTTACTTACACCGATTTGTCTTTGCATAAAGACAGTGGTGCTCTCTGATGGCCACTGATCCACATATATCGGCAATCGAAGTAGTGGCGTGAGGTCTTGCAGTCTACGCGGGTGATTTAGTTTAGCAGCAGCAACAGGGTTTTCGATGGTTTTTCGAGACACGGAGAGAGAGCTAAATTATTTACAGAATGACAAACAGGTTGGCCTTAGTTACAGTTCCTTCTGGCCTGCTACTCTACACTGGGGCGAAGGACAGGAGAGCGAGAAAGGGATGAATGATGATAGTGAAGTGGGGAAGTGAGAATATAATCATGTCATGCTGGGGAAAATCGAAAGGCGTGCATCTAGTCCAATCGCTTGTGAAAATGCCACAGCAGCTCCTATAGCCCTACGAGTGACACTAACGTCAGGGCCAAGGATCTAACACTGCATCGTCCGTTAATGGTACTCTCCAATGTCGTCCAATTGAAAGAGATCCATTTGTGATGTTTTCTCGCATACGCTGGACAGGCGCAAAATATATTTCCGAGTGTTACTGGTAACGTACCGTGGCCACAATCGAGACCTGTGTCACTGCAGCCAATCGAGTACGCATAACCCGAAAGTTCGCTTATTGGCACGCAGAAAAACGTGATACACTGTACGTTAGGCAAAAAATTAAACGTCACCGAGCTTGATAGTATCATTCAGCGTCCCTTCAAAGTGGCGTGTACTCCGATGGTCAGAACTCCGTATCAAACAAATCTTGAACACCCGAATAACATTTTTCAAGTAAAAATAGACAGGGCTCCTGTGCTTCAATAGTAATAATTCTGGTAGGTTCATGGGCATGTGGCACCGCAAACCGTCGGCGGTGTTCTGCAACGTGCCGGGCCCCGAGGAGCCCGTCGTGCTCGGCATGACCCGCGTCAAGAGTGCGGTCGCCTGGGCGGGATGGACGCCCGAGGTCCCGTTGGCCGTCACCATCACGTCCTACGCAGGTGCCTTCAACGTGGCCGTCTCTTCACAGATGGACATCGTGCCCGATCCCGACGAGATCATCAGGGAGTTCGCCAATCAGGTACGTTCGGTGATGCGCGAAGGGTAACAATAGGATCAGCGTCAGTACCGTGCGAATTGTTCGTGTTAGGGTGGCCCTTGCAATTTGAATTTTGCAGCACACTGTTCATAAAGGTAAGACGCAATCAAGCACGCGTCAAAAAGCGCCATACTTCATAACGTGCATTACCGAAAATATATAAAAAGAACACGGCATATCCACATATGTAATGATTATAAGTGGGCGATACAATGAGTTCACTTGGTGTTACCATAGATCACCCGCGTCATTTACCGCGAGACGCACGTAATTGAGTAACAAAGTGGTGTGCAGTTATATACAAGGTTTGTTAGTCATAAATGGTATGTTGTGTCGAGTTTTGAATTTCGATTTTTCTTTCATTAGTGCTGCTTCGTGGTATTGCAGCTAGCCTGAAGCTGGCAAATACAAGGTCTTTGTACGTAACTCTGTTGGTTGTTGGTTGTTTCCAGTCATATAAAACGCATCGTAGCGTATACAGAGACGTCAATACACCACAAGCCAGTCGTTGTTCGTGATCATCCTTGTCATCATCTTCATCATCATCACGGCTATGGCGCGTGCACGCCGAGGCGGCCAACGGACAAGCCTCGACCATGAGGGACTTCGCGCCTATAACTACGCGGTCTTTTCATTTATTAGCTGTGCATAGACGAGTTCCATAATTAGGACGGCTTGGCCAGAAGACACGCAAAACGGCCACCCCATTTCTTCTGGAATGCTGACATCTTTATCTGCCTTTCTTCTAGTGTCTTTGGTCTTTAACACCGTATTCATAATCCAACCTCATTCTTTCCTCGAGTTTTCTATATCGGTTTTAAACCTTTATTTCGCATGATAAACAAATTGGACCAGTATTCATGAACCAGTCTTGGCCTTATCTTTTGCCCTGTTGCCATTTTTTGTGTCTTAGTAACGCAAGTAGAGAGCAGAGGAAGTTGAGAAAACGGTGAGGTAGGGCTGAGCTTGGTTTGGAAATGCGTACCATAGCCTTTGATCCAGCGCTAAATTTTCAAAATAGCTGAGGCACTATAGGCATGAAAGTCCATTTGTTTTCTGTGCGTATGCAGTCTGACACCTCATCCATTTAACTGGCTGTGTAGTGCCACTGATGCAGTTCAAGCTCCAAATGGAGCTTCGTTGGTCTAAAATGTAAATCTCACAGCATTTGGCTGAGCAAGGTGTTTACAGTACTAAAGATCCTCTCAGAAGTAGTTATTTAGAGCTAGTAAAACTTCAAATAGATAAAATGGCTTAGCGTAGACGGTGAAAGAGACTTGTGAAACTGGCAACAGGTGTATTAACATAAAGCATTCTTGTATCTAGCAAAAAGCACGAATTTCATATTACTGGCACACGTCTGTAAAATCAGGCCTGTTTTGAATACTTAGAGCCCTTGTAGGTTTATTTATTGACTTCTAATAACCAGCTGAACGAGCGATCAGGTGTCACATCGAGTAACATTGAGCACCCATGTACGCCACCTGAGCATAGGTAATGATTTGATGCAGCTTTCACAGTGAGAATTTAACACGGAGTCAATGTGCACTCGTACCAGAGTCAAATGCAGTAACCGCTACTTTTTCGGGAGTCTATTCAGCCGGCACCACTAACCGACGCGGGGACGTTTACGTTTTCTTGATTAAGAAATGCTCTTGTCGCTTTGGAATTCCAGAATGCTATGTCACATTTATGACGCACATGCTGTCGCGACCTGGAAGCATCTGGCGCGAGGTGATACTGCGACATGAGACATGTGATATGGATAAATATTATTGTTGCTTCAAGGGATGACATCACCGAGTGAAATGCTCAATAACGAGATGCTGTTCATGTGTTCTGTGCTCTTAAATTTGACAGTGCCTGTCTTCGCGTTCGTGGAGATTAGTTTTTACGCAAACTGTACCGCAGAAAACTCCTCAGTGTCATTGAAAACATGCGCCTTCATCATTAAGCGCGTTCTTTACACATACTGCATGAGGAAGCAGCAATGGTCAATGTTGTCAGCGAGAAACGGAAACGGCTTTGAGTAGGAAGTGTGGCTTGGTGGGCTATCTTATATTACATCATGAAAGGCTTTAGTGGGCACAGACTGAAGCAAGAATACAAACGACAGCGCTGAACTGCAGCTGATACTTTATTTCTATAGGAGCCGAATTGCATGGGCCCAAAAGACAATGACACATAGAACTGTCTGCCATTACGTTTCGGTAAGCGAAGCTGTTCGTGAATGACACTCCAAGCCGCAAGCGGCAGTCGACTGTTGTTTCGAATTTGGATAGTGTGGATGGACTTCGAAGTTGAAGTGATGGATCCAGACAGTGAAGGGGATTTCCGGAAACCCGGCCATGTTCCACATTTTCATGTTGCACACTTATAGCCGGGAATGCAGCCGGTCTATAGCCGCGACAACGGACACCGTGGATGGACAAGTTATGCACTCAAGGTGCTTAGCCCCCCCAAATATAGATAAACAAATAACGTACTCAATACACACAGTACATTGTAACTCTGGAGAAAACATCTTAGAAAGTGAGTGCATTTGGAGATATTACCACTCAGTTCAACATATTAAAACGGCATATCGTAATTTTGGTCCCTCAAGTCTCAAGAATTATTTTTACTTCTGTGGTCCCCACCGCAGTTGGACCACCTGTCCGACCTACTGTCTAGGCGAAGGATCCCTGGAGAGCACAGGCGTCGTTCCAGTTACACGGCTGAGCGTCGGAATCAGGAGATCGCCAGGCCTCCCTTGCACGAGGTGAGTGACGGCTGTTGTACGCACTACACTGCACCTACACTTGGTACGGGTCGGTCTTGCTGCGCCCAACGACACTGCAAGTTCTCACTCTTTGCACAGTCACATGCCTTCGGTGCACAACGTGGTCCCGCACTGCCACTAAAAACTTCTTAGCGCATTTTTCTATAGGCGCACATAGTCTGTCACTGCGGCGAGGTCAAATTGTTTCTTCTTTTCAAGTTGTGCAAGAACCAAGAAACCAGAAGTAAGGAGAAGTTGTCACAATTTTAAACGTTCGGAGAAACAAAATATCACAATATTTTCGCTTTGACAAACGTTTATTACATCTTAAATAAATTAGCAGTTTCTTCAGTAGGCGCAGTTCTATCTTCAGTTCACATTAGGAATAATTTCTAATTATCTACTGAAAGACATTCACTGCAGTGAAGTGCCCGTACGATAACTTTCCTTGCTTTTTCATTGTATGACAATTGTGTTACATTCATTTTATTATAGGCTCATTTTTATTCAAATTTCACGTGATTTAGTTGTGCTGCCGAAGCCTTAACATTGTGAAAAAAATTTACTCTTAATGTTTAACACCGCCATGAATTGAAGGGTCGCAGTTTTGCATTTTATGTCTGTGGCAATATAAATCAGTGTATCTTGTTGTTACGTCGTTTATTTAAAGAGTTTTCAACAGCCTACATCACATTCGCCATGTATATCTGTAAATTATTGCTATAATTCAAGATAACAGCACCATGGGGTATCACTTTTGAGTATTTTGAAAGTTACACTCTGTTTCTCATTCCTCAGATGCGATTGAACAGGGCGATTTTTTTTTTTACTTTTCGAACATTCACTGACCATTGTAGGGAAGCTCTGCCAGATAAAATTGGCTGGCATAAAGTGCTACTCTTTTTACTTTAGCTGGACAAGCATATTCAATACTCTCCGAATTGTCGCCGTGCAACAGAGTTCGTTCGTTTTCACATATCCTAATATAAAAACTGAGTTCAGCGTACACCAACAATTATTCCACGCTCTCTACTGAAGCAAGAAAAAATTGATGCTTTCACGGTTTTGCTTGCTGTTAGGGTTGCGCACATTTTGGCTTTGCAGAAATGTAATTGCCTAGTGGGTGGCGCGCACTCGACTACTCAAGAAGAGGCGCAGGACAGATGCTCGAATCCTCAATCTTGTCGTTTTGTTTCAGTTAAGGTGACGTTAATAATGTCTGGTTTTTCTGCCAGAGTGTTTACTCATAATAGGCTTGCTCAAGTCAGCAAGTAGTGCGTTTGCACTTGAAGGATGGCAATGTGTTTTGGCTCTCTAATTTAAACAAGCATCGCTTGCGCGGTCACTTTCGCAATATAGTTTGTACTGCAAGCATGGTAACCGTGGCTGTTTCCTGTTGGCACAACCTTAATGCCTGAGGAAGAATAACCACTGAATTTTATATTTAGATACCTGAATTCAACTAATGCTGTTGCAAGGAATTCATCGAAATCTTCAATTAGGATTCCGCACTTTATATTTGGCCACAATAGAGCTGACTGCAACTACTGATTTGAATTTGCTGAAGTTTTTAATGCTTCATAGCTTCTTACATGAATGCCTATTACGATGCTCCTCCTATGCACTCAGCGAAGTTAACGGAGGAGGATAAAGAGAAAAAATGAAAGGCAGAGAGATCAACCAGACGCGCGTCCGGTTTCCTACCCAGCACGGGGGGAAGGAATTAAGGGGTTAAAGAAAGGAAAACAGGAGACGTAAGAGAACTAATTTTAACAAAGGCAGCGGGGTTGGAAGAACTCCTTTTGGGTGTAACAACAGGCAACCGTGGTTTTACCAGCCTTAGGCCACATGATTTAGGCCACTTTAGGCCACAAGTCAGACTCTGAAGGCACAAAGCCTTGTCTATAGGTAATACTTAGAGAAGAACAGAACAATATCAATGCGCTCTCTACGTCCTATTAATCTTGGCGTTCTATAATGCATTGTATTTCGTGTGGACCACTCCATAGGCTAGTGGAAATGTTGTTTAAGATTTCTTTTCATCTTATTCTGCACTCGGCTTTTCCAGTGTTCATACTAAGCCTTTAGAGGCATACGTAGTTGCCGACGTAGGAGATAACCTAACTGTATAAAAATATTATTGACACCTTTAGTACACCTCTAATATATTGTGCTACAGCTTACTGCATATAAAGATCGTTTTGGAGTAATGGTACAACCATTTGGCACTTTCATCGAAATTATGTTACAAGGTAATGCCACTTCATGTTATCAAGGCCGGGTCGTGTTGCCCTTATTATATTTTTTTTGTTTGTTATGTCTGGTCGATTCTCGTATTGGGCTAAAGCTCGAATTCCGCTAATGTTTCCACGGTGCATAAAGCATATGTCGCTAGTCGCACCGCTTGCGTAGCCTTATGTTAGTACTACCAAAACACTGGACGTAACTTTTACTTGCCCTACACTTTACTTCGTCCTATTTTATTTCGATGTTTTCTACCCAAAAGTTATTGAGGTATTGAAACATTTGAGTACTCTGGCTGGTATCTCCTTTGCCTTGGATGAACGCATGTCTAAGTTGACTCATTAAAGATGAAGACCGTAGAAACACACATGATCTCGTAGAAGTATACGAATTAGCAGTTTGCCTGAAGCCATCAGCTGTTCAGTGCTTTTGTACGCAAATTTCCACTTTTCAATCTCTACGTCTTGATGTAATCTAAGTCGCCTATTTAATAGCTCATGCTGTAAACAGCAACTTTAATACGTTTCCTAAGCTCTTATAATTACGATGACAGTGCTTTTCTGAAGGAAGTTTCATCTCAGCTCTATGCAGCTCTTCCCTACTCAGGACAACTATGAAAGCTTCTTCAGAGAAGCCTTAACAAGTCCAATAGTAAACTCATGAGATGACTACGCATAAGTCCACAAATATATGTTAAGAAAACACTGTCATCGAATAAGTAACCAATTAGCTCTTGAAAAAAAATCTTATTCTCAGGTGACATGGCTCTAATGTATTCACAAGACAATTTTTTTTTCAAATAAAGAAAGCTTTTTCATTGGTACAATATTCGCCGCTTGTGGATTTATTACTTTATCCTTCTCAGGGGAACACGGTAATTGTCCGTTATTTTACCCACTACCTTGTGGTGCGACCTCTACTCATTGTCTCTCGAGTCAGTCAATAAATCGACCCATGCCTCTTGAACTCTAACAGTGGTTCCAGACTTTTTCAAACTACCTTTTATCGCTCGAAGAACAAAGCTGCGGCCAAAATCGATAACCACGCTTGGGCACGAGCAGTGAGCAATTTAGAAATGATTCGACGGCGGCCACCTCTGTAGCCTCTTCGATGTCAATAGAAGCAGACTCATTAACTCACAGCACCTACTGCCACCGTGGATGGAACGTTAAGGCCGTGTTCTGGGACCACAAAAGACGTCACATAATGACCGTCCGCGCTTAAATAGCCGGTTCGATGAACGTCTGAACGAAGATATACCACTTGTACAAAAGAACCGTACATGGCTTGCTCTAATCGTTACTTGATTAGGCAATAACGTCCATCCTAATGGGTCCCAATGAAAGAATCGTTAAATCATATTTTGTGTTTTTTTTTTCATGACATGGGCAAGTATCAGTTCAAAAATACCTCGTATTGCCCTACAATATCCCTTTTCATCGTGCATTGCCAGCTATTCTTCATTTTCAGAAGAAGTTACGAAACAGCTGCGCAAGAGTATCGTAACACAAAACACTGATTATTCTCGTAGTAAATACTGTGTTATTGCTGTTATAAACAAAGAGCAATACCTTCGTCTGCGTTTATTGTTAGCTTGTGTTTGGCCATCTGATCCTGCTTTTATTTTAATTATTTTTATAACAACTTGATAGGTGAGTAGTGGGGGCTGCCTTGTCGGCAGTTAGGCTAATTTTCGCATATATATCACACTTTCATGCGTATGGGTCGCATAAGCATGAATGAGGAAAAAAATACGCAGACACAGAAATAAAAGGAGGCAATCCAGATGCTCCGCGTCTGAACGTTTGTTTCATTCACCCTTAAGCGCTGGTAATGCGTCAAAGCTCTGTATTCTTGCTAGTCCGACAAACTTCTTTATGTACGCCGGTGTACAATCACTGTTATTTTTTTTACTCCATATGCTGCTGGCTCTGCTCTCTCTGGTGTATTGAAATCATGACGGTGGTAAGCCTATTGTGGGGCCCAGAAGCACCTTTCCGAGAAACTGTCAAATTTGCCAGTTCCATAGTGTAAATAATCCCTAGCGAATCCGCGGAACGGGCGACTTTTGGGAATAAATTGAATATGCAAACAAGTTAACACTGCAAATAAAATATACAGAAAAGGCCAACGATACGACAGCACGTCATGTCCTTTCGCTTTCTTCTCTCGGGTGGCTTAGTGGCCTCATTTGGTTTTCGCATCAGGTGTCCGAATTCCCGCTACTATTCGGGAGGGCTCCACTACAGTCGGCCTTGCAATTCTCTGTTGGACTTTCTTTTGACGAAAAAAGCCACGTAATTACATGAGCCTAGAGGTTGATGCGAATAGCCCCAGGGGCCGGCGAACAAAATAATGAAAGGGCCCGGATGGGTGGAAGGGGCGGAACGACTTTCCTTTGTCGTACGCTTACACACAACTGCTATGGCCTCCTTTTTCCCCATTCTCTCCATTCATTATGTATTGCCGCGGTAGTGCTGCTTGCCTATAGTAGATGCACGTCTTAGTTAGATTCCTTTCTTTCTTTCCTTCCCCTCTTTTCTGTCCATCTCTTCGCCACTCCAACACACGTACACCGCACACTCTTCCACCTTCTTTCCCTATTTCCTTTTATCACCACCACTTCCGTTACTTTGGCTCGTCTGCCTGCTTTTTTTTTCCTTTCCTTTCCCTTTCTTTTGCTTCTGCTCTTCTCGTCGTCTGCTGCCACACCGTGGCGTCACCAGCGGCATCGCTGCTTCTACGATGTCGACGAC